AGTACATACTCAGTACTGTGGGCAATCCCCACAGGAGCAATTTAGGGTGAAGTGTCTTGCCCAGGGACACAACGACATGCTGACTGCAGCGGGGTTTGAACCCTACTGCAGTCCCAAGAGGACTTTATACAACTTAATTTACAGGTTGAGCAGAACTTACTGTAACGAGTAATCCGATCCTCTAAAGTCACCGGAGTCCCCCCCGATGCATCATCTTGTCTAAGTTGGACCAATGTTGCACCATGCCAATTCTAGGTCCAATGTCAATCCAATCATATACAGTTAAGTAATATCCATGCTTTGACTTTCAGGGAATATCTGATACAGAAAATACAACGATACTAAACACAAACCTTTGGGATGAGTTTGAAACGTTGTGTCTGAAGTAAACGTGTTTTCCGAGGGTGAACAGTCATGTGGTGATTCCTCCCCTCCTCTCTGAGACTCTGACTGACTGTTGGCTTGTTAAATGACTGGATGATTGAGTAAGTGGCTGTCAACTCGAGTGGCAATACACTACATCCCGAGACTCCTTCAGTGAGGAATTCCCATTTAATCCAGTTCTTCTCCTTTCCTATCCACCCTCCTCTTTTCTTCTTCCCCCATCCTTATCCTCCTTCCCCCTTTTCTTTCACAGTCTCCTTACTCCTCCATCCCTGAAGCCTTTCCCCCCCTCCCACACACACTCTCATCCAGCTCTGCCTCCCCCTCCATGGTCCCCTCCCCCTTCCCGCTCTCTCGCTGGCAGTAGGCAGGGCCAGTAACCATGTGGGTGGCATGTCTGGATTAGCGTGGCACACTGTCTGCCTTCGCATAAAACTGAGAGGACATGCTGATTGGACCCAGACTGATCAAAATGTAGAAATGGCAGTTATGTGGTAGGTAAACCGGGCCCTGGGGGCTTAGGGTCTGTTGAGATGATTGAATGATTAGATGCAGGCCTCAGATGAAAGTGTGTAAGTCATTAAGACTGGAATGGTTAGTTAACATTTGTTTCTTGTTGAGGTATGGATCTGCTTTCAATAAGATGTTGTTTTTTTCTGTGGTTTATACGGGACTTTTATTGGACCTTTTTCTTCTTCTTTGCTTGATTTGAGTTGACATCTGAGCAGCCACACACATTGTTGTTCTGCACATTGCACAATACTGCTATTGTAGGAGCCATGGATGTCAGAGGGTGGGGATTTCTGTTGGTCTTTGACTGTTTATGTTTTGGCATTGGTCTTTCTTTATTATAATATTATCTTGTTATCAATTATGGGTTGGATTAGTTGGGTCACATGGTTATGGGCGGTACTTATAGTAGATAAGAGAGTGAGAAGGTCGCTGTATTTTTTGTGGACCACAACCTTTTCATAGCTTTATCCGTCTAAAAATATAAATTTTTGCACGTTATGATACATTTATCAATTCCATTAAAGTGCAATTTTGTTCAACGCATTTTTGGATCTCAGCATTCATTTTTGATCGCTTCTGACAGAGGAAACCAGGGCCGACCTCAGCCTCTCGGAGACTTCGTTTGTTACTGAAGTTGCTATAGCTATACAGGGTGTCCGCGGGGTCTTAAAAAGTATTAAAAGTTGATAAATCAATTTAGCGAAAATGAAGGCTATTAAAAAGTATTAAACGGCATTTTCCAAGGTATTACATTTTGTAGCTTGTTTTCAATAAGTATATGAATTGTCCAAAGAGGTTGTATTCTACAGTGTGCCTGAATGTAATCATTGCGTAGGTGTGTAGTGTGATTCTGTGTAGTTTATTTATGGCATCCCGTTGGATTTGACGTCATCTGAACAGGACATCGCACGCTCACTGCTTGATAGCGCGGTCAGTTTACGCCGGTTGCTAAGCAACATCGTTATGGGGAAATGCAAGTTTGCGTCCAAATGGTTAGAAGATAAGCATGAAGGACAATCAATACTGTATATAGTCAATGTGAGGTAAAGTGTAATGTAACCGGTTAAAACTCAAAGTGGCGATGAGGTCTTAAAATGTATGGAAAGGGTCTTAAAAAAGATCTTAAAAGGGATTACATTTGACTTCAGGATTCCTGCATATATCCTGCTATACTGTATCTTTGTAAAATAGTCAAAACAGCTGTTATATGTCGCTATGTTACTGCTGTGTACATATAGTATGATTTATATTTGAGAAATCTAGTAAATATAACATCCCCTTGGTTATTGGTTTAGGTTACAGTAAAAGTCAGCGATTCCAAGAGAAGCAAACGGATCTAACTGATTGTAAATATAAGACAGAAAAAGAAATATCTCCTCCTTTTGTGTGTCCTAATAGGCAGCAAGCATGATGATGGGACCCAGAGTGACTCAGAGAATGGACTGGGCCTACGTTTTGCAAACCGCCGCTACGCCCTGGAGGAACGCCTAAAAGCAGTGCACGGCCTCGCGGGAACCGGAGGTGGAAACATCACAACGAGCGTAGCCAGAACAGGTGGCAGCCGCACTTCCTTCATGATCGAGTTATACGACGAGGAAAACCCTCGCAAGCGCCGTTCGTATTCATTTTCCCAGACTGCACCTCTGCAGGGGATAGGAGCTGGCGGGGAGGCCCTGTTTCCCCAGCCTCCCTCTCACCCCAAGGTGTTCAGCATTTCTACTTCTGCCTCCACAGCCTCTGACTCAGGTAATAAATCATCATGGCTAATATATATTGTGACTCTTCTATAAATATTTGTCCGTTCTTAGAGAAAGTGCTCTGTGAGTAAGTGCAATTTAAAAGAGATACATTAAGTTAAAGACATTTTAAAGGCTACATCATGTTTAATCTGCTGAAGTTGCAGTAAACCTTTAATCAGGGGTTGTTTTTATTACATGAAAACTATTGTTATGACATCATATAACGTTTGACAGCCCCAAAAAAGCCCAAACTGTCTGTATGTCATTTTTTTTTGTAATAGCTTTATTTGTTCTCTCTTCTTGTAGGTAAGGTCCCCGCTCCGCTGTCAGCCACAGTGACTGCAGGCGCCCCTACGGCTGCCCGCGTCCTTCTCAAGCAGAGGTCAGAGGACCTGAGTATCGGGCGCTGCTCGGTCAGTACCGGGCTGGCGACAGGAAGCCCCACGAGCCCCAGCGAGGACGCTTCGGTGGTGGGGAGGGGGGGGACAGCTGCTGGAGGGGAGGCAGAGGACGACCACAGCGATAAGGGGACCTACACTATAGAACTGGAGAACAGGAACGCGGAGGAAGAGGAGGCCAGGCGCATGATAGACAAGGTAGGAACGTTCAGAGATGTTAGCAACAACTGCTCATTTTCTTGTGCTTAAAAAGGACATTTTTATTATGAGTAAATGCTTTTAAAACAACAGCTTGTGATTAAAAGAATGCAATTTATTGACCGTCAGCTGTGCATATAGTGCCAAAACCTACAATTCACATTAAATCTCATTACACATTATGCGGATGTATACTAATGTCACTTTAATATAATAACACATTATGATTTTTCTTTCTTGAATTAATTAAAATAGTTGGATAATTGAATACAGTTGAGAACGCTTATTTAAACGGGACCTATCATGCAAAATGCACTTTTTGATGTCTTTTATACATAAAGATGTGTCCCCGGTGTGTCAGGGAACTCACGCAGCGTCAGAAAATAAAACCCTCTCTCTTTTCCTCCGTACCCAAATCTCTAAAAACGGGGGAACAACGGAGCTGATCCAGATTTGCGTCCGATATGATGTAATAACGGAAAGGCTTTACACCCACGGCCCAATCAGAAAGTTGCTATCAGAAACAATGCCCGACTGTTTTGGACGTAATATGGTCAGTGTTTACATTAGCATTGCTAACACTCAGAGCTAACCTGTACTGGAGAGCATGTGTGTGAAGAAGCAGGAAATAAAAAGGAACTCACCTTGTGGTATAACCGGCAAGAGAGAAAGCCTTTGAGCTCCATACTGTTTCAGAAATAATCCTTGATAATCCGTGATATGGCGTTTCATCACGGCAGTGTTTAGTTTAGACAGTAGCTGCCGGGTCCCGCATGAGCTCAGCCCCCTCCATTTTTTAATGAATTTTCTTTTTGTTTAAAGCTTTATACATGATAGGTGACCTTTAAGTAAACTGATATTAAACCAGAGCTTTTATTCTTGAATTACAAAGATATCTGGATGCTAAGAAAGTGGAAAAATCTCTTGAGATACGCGGAAAAACACTGATTTTAAGCACAATTATAAGCCAAATATACCCAAAACTAGCTGTCAATTCTTCATTGTTTCTTATTTACTTAAAAACATGTTTTAATTGCAGTTGATAACCATATTGAATGAGCAATTACATATCTGTTTTCCTGCTGTGGTCCTGACCTATTTTCCCAATAGATGTATTAGACATTGATAACAATTTCCCATGAATAATAAGGGCCTTTCAAAGGACCCAAGGCTGCTTTACATGGTAAACAAACAAACAAACAAACAAACAAACAAACAAACAAAAGGGGCAAATAATAAAGTAAAAATTAAATAGTTAGCAATAGAAAAAGCCTCTGAGGCGCCGGCTGATGTTCGTCCTGTAGCCTCGACAGACAATAACGTGTCTCTTTCTTCTGATGTTTCCTTTAGGGTGAAGCAGGTAAACCGGGACAGGCCGGACCTGCAGGCCGAGGCGGAGACCCCGGACTGACCGGACCCCCCGGACCCCCAGGGAAAGGGAAAGAGGGACAAAACGTAAGAAACATATATCTTCTCTATCTGTGTTTTTAATTATTGTTTTACTTTTATGTATGCACCACGACATCAAGTCAAATTCCTCGTACGTGTCAACAAACCTGATTCTGATCTTCAGTCACATTTTATTTATTACTTAGTAAACTTTAAACATCTTGGTCTGCCTGATAATGTTCAGCCTTGTTTTCAGTGACAGGATTCTTTTAAGGTTAACTTATAATGCATCATTTGCACCGTGGTGTTCTTTATTTAGTTTGATGATAAGATTTAAAGGAAAGGTTCACTGCTTTTAGCCAAGACTTGTGTATAAAAATATATCATTTTTTATGATAAAATAATGATGAATGAAAACGATTTGACACATTTTGTAGAAACGTTGGCTAAAAATAAAAAAAAATTCTTATTGTAACAAATTAAGTCTTTGTTTATTTTGTTTATTATATATAGTTCTTTGAGTTTAGAGAAAAAAACAGTATTCCCATGTGTCCAAAGGTTACATATAGTATGATAAAAAAAAAAATACTATGTCAAAGAAGCTACAAGGAGCAAAATCAAGTATTTGGTAACTTTGAACTTTAGCAGGTTGAATATTAACAATATTAAATGTAATTAACATAATAATCACTACTACTACTATAAATGTGATATCTCATGTGACCTAAGAGTGAATAGTGGTGCTGTTAGACACATGTCCAAAGCCCCTACCAGATTCCAAAACCTAAGACCCCATGAGAACATATTTTATTGCACATTTCCCTCATAATAAATATAGGAACTGGGCAGTTATGGGTTCCTAAAAATGTAGCTGTGGCAGCTTAATTAAAGGTTTTCGCTTTCCGCCAGGGAGGCGTGTGACGCAGTGGACTAGTGCAGGGGTTCCCAAACTTTTCAGCCCGCGACCCCCAAAATAACAGTGCCAGAGACTGCGACTGGCGACCCCCTGTCGACGAGGAGGGGGGGGATGCTAGTGAATTAATTTCAGAAAGAAAAAAAAAAGTTTGAGAAACAATGCGCTAGTGGATTGACAAAGAAAACAAATTCTATGCAAACGTTATTATTAATAATAATTAAAAAAAAAAAATTATAAAAAAAATTAATATTTTTTTATAATTAAAAAAAAAAATTAATTTCCATTTTGATTTTGTATTCATCTCGCGACCCCCACTCGGGGTCCCCACTTTGGGAACCCCTGGACTAGTGCATTAGTGTTGGGATCAGGGGAGCACAGGTTCAAACCCCACTGCAGTCAGCATGTCGTTGTGTCCCTGAGACACTTCACCCCAAATTGCTCTTGTGGGGATTGTCCACAGTATTGAGTATGTAAGTCGTTTTGGATAAAAGCATTTAACAAGTGGCATGTAATGTTTTAGTCCAGTAAAATTCATTTAACAACCAGCTGTTCCTTTAAAGTCTGGAGGTTGGAATAGACATCTAATTCAGTGTCATATCTACTTATAGATCCTGCAACATTACATCAAATGGCATTATGTGTTTGCATTTTGTTATATATTTGGACTTGTTTGCATGTCCACTAGAATAAAGGATGTCTGTGTTAAAAAAAGCTTTCTTAAACGGTGTTTATAAGTCACATTTGATAACAGGAATGCATCTCCATCACTTCCATCAGTAATTGAAGCCTCATTAATGTCTCTTTTCCACACGTGTTGTGCCTGTAATCCATGCTGAACCACAAACACAATATGTTCGGCTGTATGGAGGAAAAAGAGGCTGCGTTGGCACATTTCACCTCGACATGTTCCCTCATCATTTTTCACCCCGACATGTGGCCGGGCTGCTGACGAGGCAAACAGGAAGAACATTGTTAAGACATACAGGATCACATTAAAGCAACACACACTGTTTTTCTTTACAGCTGCCAGGTGCGCTCCCCCCAGGCCTTTTTCACACTGAACAACACACACTTTTATATATGTAATTATTTATTAAAAAGAGGTGTAAGAACAGTGTGATTTATGTCATGTGTGGTGTTACAGGGGGATCCAGGACCACAGGGAATCCAAGGACCTCCAGGACCAAAGGTAATGTCATTGCAGAAGTTAGCAAGAAGTGTGTTGCCTGAAGAGTGTTTTTGTTTTTTTAATCATGCACAGGTGCTTTTTTGTTGACGTGAAAAACGCTTTCTTCTGGCACGGATGAGAAAAAACAATTCATTTTTGTTGAAAGCAGTAAAAGCAATTTCTATGTCCACTGCACTGTGACCGCTGCTCTGATTATCTTTGCTGAGAGGAGTTTGATGTCGGTGGAGGGGGGGGGGGGCAGAGGCAAGAAGAGGAAGGACAGCGGGGCATTTTCTGGATTGATGGTGTCAAATCGCTCACCCTCATCACCAATACCGTTTTCTCTTCTTGGTTCCAAAATGTCAACGGCAGATTGTAAAAAAAAAAAAAAAACGTTTGATTAAAACCCGGGGTGACATTTCTGGGATCAGAAGGCATCGCTGAACTTTCTCTCAGGGATTCTTAGCCAAACATTACGGCTGAACTGATATTATCTGAGTTAACTTTGTTTTGTTTCTTTCTCCCAGGGACAAACCGGGTCACGAGGAGAACCGGGGTCACCGGGGGACAGAGGATCAGTAGGAGAGGGAAAAGTGGGACAACAGGTAGGAGCTTCAATGCATTATATCATTCCACATCCCACATTTAAAGCTCACCTATTATGCTAAATACATTTTTATACATCAACATGTGTCCCCTCTTCTTCATGTCTCTTCTACATCAACATGTGTCCCCTCTTCTTCATGTCTCTTCTACATCAACATGTGTCCCCTCTTCTTCATGTCTCTTCTACATCAACATGTGTCCCCTCTTCTTCATGTCTCTTCTACATCAACATGTGTCCCCTCTACATCAACATGTGTCCCCTCTTCTCCATGTCTCTTCTACATCAACATGTGTCGCCTCTTCTTCATGTCTCTTCTACATCAACATGTGTCCCCTCTGTGGAAAGAGACTCTGAAAGTTTCAGGAACAAAGATTCTCTCTCTTTTTGTCCTGATCCATTTCTATAAAAACCTGTCTGATGTTCCTGAAACTTTCAGAGTCTCTTTCCACAGAGGGGACACATGTTGATNCTGCTGGCCACTGTGGAGCGGAGTGAAGGGAACATATTCAAGTCAGCGTTCATTGTGTGTTCTATTACATAATGTGTTTATCATGAAGTTAATAAATGATTTCTTGGAAACATGAGAAAGCTTTGATACTTTGAGGCAGCCCCCAACTTATCAAGGCTTTTAGTGACAGTAACGGCCCGTCCACCACAAGCAGCTTAAAACAAACAAGTCTTCCAACGCTTCTCTGCCCATTTCACTTTGAATGGGGTGACGTCACTTTGCCGTCGCTTTTCGGCGAAACCTGCATTGTTGGGGAAGCAAAAGCGGGGAAAGATTTTTTTTCTTAGGATTTTCAGGGATTGCAAAAGTTGCGCGCATGGTTCAACTTTTGAAAGCTGAGGTGGAAGCGTCAGGCCAATCAAATCCGCGTTATGCCAAATCTGAACCAAATGTACAAGCGCTAGCCACAATTCAAACCGCGTGTAAACTGGGAGTAGACAATACCGCAGTTCATTTCGCTCATATTCCAAAACGAGAAATACGGTGCAAAATCACCCGGTTCTTTCACGACCAGTTATTTACCGCGGATACACAACCGGAGGAACCAGGCATGGAGGGAAGGCTGGCAGAACAGTGGGGTGAAATCTGGTAGCGTCGGCGGTTTGGAGCATTCGGGTGTGGAGTGGAGTTGGCGTGTGTGTGAGGGCGAGCGTGCTTTGTATTCGCGGGCCGGGGAGACATGTGATGTGTTGGTCCCGACTCCTCTCCCCCATAGATTTTCAAACGATTTTTCAAAGCTTGCCCTGTCGTGGGACGGGCCGGTAAGCTGAAAGAAGGAGTTAGGACATTGTTTCAATAATTGGACTACACAAATGTTAAATTCTGATAAAATTACGATTGGGTGAAGAAACATTTGAGTGTGATTGTGTATCTTAGTTTTGCTTAAGTTGATTGTTATTGGACAGCCTTACACATGTGGCCTGTTTTGCAAGCATTAAAACCACACTGAAAACGAAAACGACAACGCAGCCAGCCCGACTATCGTAGAATGCCTCCTCAAGCAGCGCAGCACACACGAAACATCCAACAAGCGGTACGTAAGACCTTGCTCAAAAGCAGGCGGTTGACGTTCAGCGTCACTCTTAACAATAGTCACGACCAGGCCTGCCATTTATAGTGTTGTTAAAGCTGCACCAATGATGAGACAGGCCACACATGCGTCTGTCAGGTCTCTGAAGGGTAAAATGGGACAACGTGGGAAAGGTGCTGCATGAATGGCATAATCCCCACGGGGTGGAGCACTGTCCCGAAAAAGACCATTCACGCCTGATGGATGTTGAATGTTTTGAGCCTTCCCATGTTAAAATGGTTTTACGTGGTAAGCTAGAGGCATTTGGCATCTTCAGCATCATCACAGCATCACTTTGATGAATGTCAGGGGGACAACAGGTTAACAAGGCCCAACATATGCCAGAGCCTGGGTCATCTTACTTGTCGACTCTTGAAATGTCTTTATGTGCTGGCTGTTTATATCATAGCTAACTGATATTTTAGAATGTTCAAATCTAGTGAAGGCATTTCTATTTAGTAGTTCAACGATTTAAACTCTGGCAAAAAAAACAAGAAAACGGTCTTTACTTCCAAACAAAGGACTTGGAAGTCATTGACAGAAGTGAGTGGCTTCTATTGATGAGACCCGGGTCTGACACACACACACACACACACACGAACACACACACTGTCTAATGAAGGCTCTACATTGTGGTACAGTACCCATCAGCTCCTCCTCTGCATCACCGCCCTCAGGATCGGGCTGAGAGCTCTCTGGACGATGACAACCACAACACAGTGGAAATGTTTACAGACAAATGTTGACACACACTGATGACACAAAATGAGGTACAGAATGCAATGGAGTTCACTTGTTGGACTCGACCCTTAAACTACTTTTGATTTGCAAAGTAACACCTATTTAAGTAATGTAATAAGAAACGTTTTTCTATACCTGATCGTTTTAATTTCCTTCTACTTTATGCTAATAGTTTAATTCAGAGGTAGTTATTCTACCTTATACTCCAATATGTATCTGATCTTAAGTTACTTTGAATATTTAGATTCAGATTAATGATACAAAATATACTCAACAAATAATTGATCATGTATAATTTGTTATTAAAAATGATATGTTACTGTTCCGTTGATCAAATTCACAAGCTACCTGGGTTATAATATGTGTCGCAGAAAAAATAAGCTTATTATCAACATACTTGTACTTAAGAAAATGTTTGATGCTAATACTCTTTTTATTTTACCTCAGGAAAGTTTGGAATGCAGGAAAAAAAAAAAGAAAAAAAAAAAAAGGTTTTGATATTTTCACCTGAGTAAAATGTCTAAATACTTTTATCCATCATTACTGAGGAAACCAGAATGAAGCAGAAATGAGGCGTGGTGTTGTCGTGCTCACCTGTGGGCGAGCAGTACCCTGCTGCAGAGGTCCTGGTCTTGGTCTCATTCAGTTTGGACACGCTGTTGGCTCTCATCCTGGGCGTCAGTCTGCTTTCAGTTGGTGTTGACGAGCGGAGCCCCAGACGCAGAGCGGTCTCTGCTGACAGGCGGGGTGAAGAGGTGGAGCTCCGGGTCACCAGACACTCTGAGTCACTGCGGGCCGAGATGGAGCCCAGACGGGTCCGCCGGGGCTGAGCCAGCATGTCGAATCGCGACAATCCTTTCCGTCCAGATGGAGGCTTGGAGGTGGAGCTGGTGGTGGACACTTCAGAGGCTACGGACGCCCTGTCTGCGTCAGCCAGGTCCGTGTCGGAGGTGTCCCCCAGCCGGGCGCGGCGCAGGAGGGAGGCTCTGGTGGGCCGCGGCTGAGGCAGGGCGGCCTGCTTGCTCATGGAGGAGGAGGTGGCGGACTGCACAGAGCTCCTGGTTTTGGACATTCCACTGGTGGAGGTTTTATTGAATTTGGAATTGAGAACATCATCCGAGGCACGTCCGTGTGCTGAGCGCCCCATAGGTCCAGAGTACGTCTCCTGGTCTGAGGAGAGGATGTCAGAGATGGGGAAGGAGGACGTCTGGTCGTCATCAGTGAGATCCACGGAAGGCTGCCGGGCTCTGGAGGACGGCTGAACGGAGCGCCGTGCATCAGTCCGGCCGGTCGACTCTGTAGTTCTCGTTTTAGTCTTCCTCTCCAAGCGGTCACGGGCACTCGCGGTGGTGGTGCTGGTCTTGGACGCTGTGCTAATGGTGCTCTTCTCCCGGTGCATGCTGCTGAAGGAGCGCCGTTTGTGATCGCCACCGCCTTTTCTCTCCGCCTCTCCGGCCACATGGCTAGTTGTGCTGGCCGTGTCAACATCTGACTCAGGGGAGATGGATTCAGTCCGATTGTGGGCAGAACTTTTACTACTTTTGTGGTCTGTTTTGTTTTCATCCCTGAGTTTGGCCTCCAGGAACGCCATGACAGCTTCAGTGTCCTTCAGCAGCGTGGCGGTGTCCATGCTGCTCACGGAGTCGCTGCGTTCGCGCCCGCCGCCTCTGTTGATGCGCGGGATGAGCTCTGTAGGGACATTAGCGCTGGGTTTCTCAATTGTGAAGCTGCCTTGGCGCACCAGAGGTTTCCCAGACTTCTCTCCTCCTTCTCCTGACCCTCCTCCTTTCCTCTCCTCTGACCTCTTCCTCCTCTCAGTGCTGCCAGAGGACCGGAGAGAAGCCTTGGATGGCGAGGACGTGGAGCTCTGTTTACGTTTACCGGTCATGTCAGCGTCCCTCATGGGGCTCGGGGACTCCCCGTCTCCCTTGTTTTCTTTTTCCTGGGGTTCAGTGTCTTGTTTCTCCCCAATCTCGGACCTTAGACCAAGAGCTTTGGCGCTGGATTTAGCCCGGGGGTCATCCACGGGGAGCTGGGGGAGGGTCCTGCGCTTACGGTCCGTCAGACTGGAGGAGGATTCACCTCGGCTGAGGGATGCACCGGACCCAAAGGCATCAGTGACTGGAAAGAAAGGACAAACTTAACTGAGTTTCAAGATTTTCTTCAATAAAAGCAACTTCAAGTGATTCCCATTGCTGCCTTATGATGTACGTGCTCTAAAAGTGACTATGTACCTCTCTCTTTGTGGAGGAAGGCGGCTGTTTCTGCTCCTGAGCCCTCCGGGTCTGTCCTGGTGTGATTGGCAGCTAGACTGGCCCACTCAGAGACCCAGCTCGAGTCGCCAGTGAGAGCCTGAGGGGACACGAGAGAGGGGGGTGGGGCGACAGGAGAGTAGGACACAGGAGTGAGAAAAAAGAGCAGTTCAGTCAATAAGTGGTTGCACAAAACATACAGGCATCTCGAGCTAGATTTTTGTGTTGATACAAAATATATAACATGATGATGGGAATGATTTAGTTTGTGGGAATGAAGGGTGGGGTATAAAGAAAAGTGTAGAGTTAGGAGACTGCCTGTGTGCCAAAGAAACCCCACTGGGTTAAAAGTCCTTTTACTTGGAAATAGATATCTATCTAGCTAAATTGCATGAAAGACTTAGAAAGATTGAAAATGCACATTCGCTGTGTCTCCTCCCTACTATGAAATTGCCTGGAGGCCAACTTGTCTTTCCACATCTTAGTATGATCTAGGTCAGTCTCTGGGAGGACAAGCCTACTCCCAAGAAGAGGCAAGGGGAGTGGAGGGGTTAAGACACGGGAGGGACTGTGACTCACATTATGAAACTCTTTTATACTACACTGGCCTGAGAGGAA